TAGGTGGTAGAAGCATGTCTCTGGCTACAAAGAATGTAATAAGCTTTTATTAATGAAGTATAAATGAGACACGCAGTTGCTCTGTTGAGGGCCATCTTTAGGTGGATGTCATCTGGAGTTTCAGAAGTGACTCGGATGTTTTGGGTGAAGTGCCTTTTAGAGTCAGTTGGTGTGACTCTTCTGAAAAGGAAGTCAATACCGTGTTAGTTATGCTTTACTGAACCTAAAGTAAAAGAGGTTTTTGTTATTTAACAATTTGCATCACCCTTCCTAATTCCCATACTTACAGACTCATGTCAACAGAAAACATCTCCTTTTATCTAGCAAGTGCTTTGAGAAACAATCTTGCACCTTTAGGAGATGTTAAATTTCCACCAATAGGGCATTGCAGTTTGTCACTTTATCTAAGTAGTAAACTTTAAGGAAAGCTTTCGTAAAAGTGTCAAAGAATTCAAACACCTGGAAAAAATATGAAGGCATACAACTTAGTACGAGCACTGCTGAGAAATACAACCTCTTCTGCATTGTCAGGGTGTTTTTTCTTTATTTGCTTTATCTGCATTATGTTGTGATCATGTATTTTAATATTGTGAATAGTTGGTCAGTCTACATAGTAGGCACTGTAGCAAATACTGGGCTGCTAGTAGAGCTGTTGCAGCACATCACCTATGTGAATTTCAAACCCAAGTTTACATTAATAAACTATAGGTCAGACATAAAAGTAGAAGTAAAAATAAAGGCTCTCCAAAATGTTAGGAATAATGTGCAAGAGCATATAGAACAGAGGTTTCCATTAGCATTCCTGTCTTGTTAGAGCGCTGAGAACCGGAGAATATCAGGTACCTTTCCTAAGGAAAAGGCTTCAGTGTAATGAGAGTGGCAGAGAGCATGCAAGAGCTTTTGCTGAAGAAAACTGGACAATACTGAAAATGCCAAATACTGTTTCTTTTCAGGTATTGGCTATTACATATTCCGTAGTGCAAACTCCCAGAAAAACAGTTTCCGAAGGAATCCAGCAGATCCCAAATTGGCCTGTGAGTGCATTTTGTATTTGTTCAGCTGCTACACAGCTCCTCTTTGTAGTGTTTAAACACACGTTTCAGTTGTGTTGACTACAATACTCTATTCACAGATCTGAAATCTATACCCACTGCAACTGGGAAAGGGCTTCTTGTCACAGGCTGGTGGGGTTTTGTTCGTCACCCGAACTATCTCGGTGATATCATCATGGCTCTGGCGTGGTCCCTCCCCTGTGGTAAGTTCCTGAAGCTAAGATGGAGTTTGTTAACAGTGCTGGTGTATTTTAGCATCTGGCTGGGTTTGAAATGCAAAGTGATAATTATTTGAGATGCTAAAACCTGTAATGAATTGAATGATGAATTTCTCTGGTGTAAGCTTAATGCAACACCTCTTTTCCTTTACATTTTATCCTTTATATCTAACTGTAGATCTGACATCTCCCGCTATAGATTTGTCTCTTCTGACACTTCATCATCAAGTAACAATGGAGCTTGCTAATAAGTTGTTCCTTACATTTTTTTTAATGGCTTTGTTAAAGTGGTGTCATATCTGCTGGCTCATGTCTAGTCTTTCATCCACAAGTCAAGTAGTGCACTCTGAGCAAAGATAGAGTTACCATCTCCAGCCAAAATAGAGAACCTCGTGAGGCTTGTGTGGGGCAGCTCTGTGCTTGTAGGGGTTTACCTATTTCTCTGATTTTGATAGCTAGGGAACTTAAAATATGTGACAACTTTGCATGTGTTAAGCTAGTAAATTCTGAGACTTAATTTTAAGGATTGTTTTCTGGGATTTTTGGTGGGTCATTCTCTGCATGTAGGTATGTCACATTTTGCACTATCCTGTGAGCTTTTGATGCTTTACAACTATAAGATGCTTCAGGCTATGACAAGTATGTCACCAGCTCAGCACATAGAATTATAGAACAGTTAGGGTTGGAAAGGACCTTAAGGACCTTAGTTCCAACCCCCTGCCATGGGCAGGGACACCTCACACTAAACCATGTCACCCAAGGCTCTGTCCAACCCGGCCTTGAACACTGCCAGGGATGGAGCATTCACAGCTTCCCTGGGCAACCCATTCCAGTGCCTCACCACCCTCACAGTAAAGAACTTCTTCCTTATATCCAATCTAAACTTCCCCTGTTTAAGTTTTAACCCATTACCCCTTGTCCTATCACTACAGTCCCTAATGAAGAGTCCCTCCCCAGCATCCCTATAGGCCCCCTTCAGATACTGGAAGGCTGCTATGAGGTCTCCATGCAGCCTTCTCTTCTCCAGGCTGAACAGCCCCAACTTTTTCAGCCTATCTTCATACAGGAGGTGCTCCTGTCCCCTGATCACCCTCATGGCCCTCGGGACTTGTTCCAACAGTTCCATGTCCATGTTAATAGCTAACATTTCCTTGCTGTGCCTAAAGAGACTTTCTCACTTTATTCTGCAGGTTTTACTCACATTTTACCATATTTCTACGTTATCTATTTCATCTGCTTGCTTGTTCATCGAGAAGCTCGTGACGAACATCACTGTAAGCAGAAATACGGCTTGGCGTGGGAAAGGTACTGTCAGCGTGTACCATACCGCATATTTCCTTACATCTACTAGAGCACTCTAGATGCCTGATTTGCAAATTCCTTCTAAAGTTAGTTTCTTTGCAAATAAAAATATACCTCTTACCTTTGCACTTGGTCTGTTTGTTATTTAGGCTTTTAAAAACAAACAAACAAAGGTGACCAAACAGTGGAGTGCATCAACAGCTATTTACAAGTAATCTTAAAATGTGAGTTGTGGGAACTGACTGTCTGTGACTTCAATTTTTACCAAAATTGTGAATTTTAGAAAGTCTTGGAGCCCTGATCTTTCAAGTTAAATTTTATCTAGAATCCTAAGTTTACATTTTTATTGCATTTAATTAAGCACTGTGATGTAAAGTATATTATTTTCTTAATACAATAAATATCAGAAATTCCATCCAGTTCATTTTTTACTGTTGCTTGTACCATCTAACTTCAGCTGTCTGACTTAGTTGCCTGAACTGAAGGAGCAGCAGGGTCTTTTGGTTGGTGGAGCTGGGAGCAGAGGATTTGACCCATGTGAGGGGCCTGTGCTATTGCCAGTGCTGCCCTGCAGCCACGGGCCAGAGTTGGCACAGCTCAGCTGGGTGCTTGTCCCCCTCCTGGCTTTTCATTAATGGGATTTTTTGGTCAGGGAGGCTCAGGTGACCCCTGTACCTGCAGGAGGGACAAAGGGATGGGATGGGAGTGGGAGGAGAAGTAAAAGGGCACAATCATCCCATCCCATCCCTGCATTCTTGAGGCAGTTTCAGACCAAGGGGGACTCCTGGCAGCACCCCTGACCCTAGAGAGAAGCCATGCTGCTGGCTCAGGCTCCTGAAGGTAGATGATACAAACACTTTGTTCCAGCTGTGGGCAGAGCTGTGGAAGCGAGTAGCAGACCCTACTCCTGCATCCAGTGGTGAGCACAGGGTAGCAAAAGGTGCAGGAAAGAACAAAATGACCACAGTTGGCTGCTTCTGATCTCTGTATATGTCTTAATGTACCATAGCGTTTACCATGTGTGTATAATAGAGCTTCCATGTTTTTGCTGTACAGTCTTTCTGGATTTGAAAAGGCGAAAGCTTTGGGGTTTTTTAGGAATAGGAGATACCAGTAACTAAACCCATTTCCAGTACTTTTTAAAAATATGCTCATTGAATAAAAAAGGTTTTGTAAATTAATGTATTAATTCTGAAACCAATTGAAGTGGTCACTGAAATATTTGTATTGAAAGAGATGCTATGAAAATGTAGGACATGCTCCTCAATCCAAAGTTGGGGTTTTTTTCCTTTTATTTTAATTTGGCATCGCTACCTCATATGTAGGTTTTGCCTTTTGTATTGTTGCGGATAGAGAAAATGGCTATTTTTTGCTATTGCTATTTAAAACAACATTTTTTTACATGAGCCTGTGGTTAAACTCAACCACTTCCTAATATATTTTTGTATATATTTGACTTTTTAACTAATGTATGTGTTCTAGTTACTACTAGCCGTGGTCTCTGGCTAACTGGCTGTAAATCGGATGCCTTCGCAGTATTGACTTCATAAGTAGAATAGTTTCACTGAAATAAGTCTTGCATTAACTAACTTTTATTGTCATCACACTGAGAGCTTTTCACAGACCTCCAACAGAAGGTTGTATAGCACAAAGCGTCCAGAACAGCTTAGTAGAATCTTAACTCCAATGCATGTACTTGTATGCTTGCAGGAAGGTTCCTAAGAAGTGGGAATGTTGTTGAATGTTACCCATCGATTATTTTCAGTTCTTTTAAAATGTTGATGTAATTGAAAACTATCACGTGATTTTTTTAAATAAAAGAACCCTCTATTTTGTACACAGGCATCTTCCTAAGGAGAATTGTACATTTGAAGTGTAAATAATGTAGCTTGGTTGTGACAGTTGCCTCCAAAAATCTGTAATGGTGGTGTTGTAAGGGAAATGTTTTAAGACAAGTACTTTGATTCCTGCTCTGAGATAGCAGTGCCTGTAACAAGAGTGAGGAGCTGTCACTCCTGTGCAGTAGCAGATTAAACTGGGATATGCTGCCCGGTGGATTGATGGGAAACAACGGATCAATCATCCAAATGCCCCAGCCTGCAGCTGGTGGTTCAAAGTGTACGGATGGGGGGGGCAGTTGAACCCCTCACTCTGCAAAGCAAGAGGTGCTGCTGCCATCCCAGTTTTATCTGTTGCCACACAAGGCTGTTGAAATGTAACACGGAGCCCTTGTCTTTCAGAAACAGATTGTGAGCAGTGGTAACTTCCCTCTATTTACATGCTGAGTTTTATGTGAATTTGATTTTGAAGTAATTGTTTTTACTACAAACAAGTCTATAAACTGAAATAAAGCTTTTGCTTAAAATTTAGTGCCTTTTTTTTATTCCAGTTTGTGGTGGGGTATAAAAAAGAGATTTACCTGATGAAGTAAAGGTGTGTGTCTGCTGACATTCCTTCTGTATCTGTGGCTGTGGGCCGAATGTTACAAACGTTTGCTCGAAGCTTGTGGTGCTTCTCTTTGCCTGCCTGGGCGCTGATGAAAGGAGGGCTCCATTTAAAAGGTGTTCTCTGTTTTCTTCCTTTCCTTCTGCTTCTCTGTATGCAAAAGTTTATGGAGCCACCAACAGCTACTTTGCTCATCTCTCTGAACTGAAGAAAATCAAAGCACTAAGAAGTAGGTGGCATGGCAGGGGTAGGGAAAGCTGGCTCGGAACCTCAGTGGACAGCAACTTGTCATGTTAGGCAAAACTTACCTTTACCGGGAAAGATGATGGCTTCAGATGAATGAAAGTCTCATCACTGACCGTGTCTGAGAGCTTCCAGGGTCAGAGCTGGCACAGCAGGGCCCTTGCTTGTGTGACTCCTTGGCTCCATCCTTGCTCACGTGGTAGACTGATGCTGTCATCCCTGGAGGTGGTGGTGCCCTGGGTCTTGAGGCAAGGCTCATCCCTTGCCTCCTTTTGTTCCTCCATTAAAATTAGCTGTAAAAAGACAGAATGAGCACTTGGGTTTGCATGGTTTTGCACTGTATTTTTTCCCCACAGCTTCTCTTGGAAGTCAAAAATGAAACAATTTCATGTAGTTGTGGGATAGAGCTGTAGCTACCACACAGGAAATGAATTTTGTGCTGATCTGACCTAATGCAAACAAGACTGTAGGAAATACAACATAACTAAATGACCACTCATGGTAGTTTTGCCTCAGAAGGTTATTTACCAGAGGTAATGCTGCACGTTTGTGTAAATTACATTTACAATGGCTCATTGAAACTCACCAGAAGCACAGTTCTTGCCTCATGTGGAGTGAAAGCTGTCCCAGGGAGGGTGTGAAACCTCTCCAGTGTGGGGTTGGAGAACACTGTGTATAACCAAACCCTCCAACACTGTTCTCTTATAGAAGTTCCCTAAAGTTAGAAGAAAATACTTAGTGCTTTTCTGTTTGTAGTATTTCAGAAAAGCAAAGCACTGCCTTTGGTTTGGTTTGGGTTTTTTCTGAGGCGTTTAAAACATCAGTTCTACCTGTTGTAGAACTACTGTAAACACAACCAGTGGTGCGGAATACCAGGAGGAAAACAGGTCCTGCCCATCATGAGAGCAGGGATGAGGTTGCTGAAGGGGATTGGTACTCCAGCCGCTTATTTGTGTGTGTGGTTGTCATTCACACCATCCCTCTTTCTCCTCAGAAGCCTCCCTAGTGCCACTGAAGCCAGATGTTACAAGTCATTTTGCACTGCAATTGAAAATGGGGAATTCTGAGCCAGTAATACTGCCCTTGTGAAATACTTGTGGAATACGCAGGTGCCAGGAGAGTTTCAGTCAGTCCATGCAACAGCAGTGAGGAATGTCTGCAGATGTGCAGGAGAAACATTTAACAGAGACCCCAAGGGTGAAACTTACATTTAAACTGATTTGTGTATCTGCAATGCCTTGGTTTGCTCTACACAAGCAAGTATTCCTGTGACCAGCCTGGCTCCTGATTCCAAGATTCGAATGTGCAGACACAAGCTTGTCCACTCTTCCAGGACCAGCTTCCCAGGACTCTTCCTTACGGTGCTTGTATTCCCTCTTGGAGCCATGTATTGCCAGGTTTAGCCAGCCTCACCAAGGACCTTACTGCTTCTGTATTTCAAACTGCAGAAACTTCCCAATGTTAACATCAACTGCCCAGAAAGAGAATCCATCTAAAGCTTACAATCGGATGAAATGAACTCCCGTGAAGAGTATTGTAATACCTGGTGCATCCTTAGGAATATAAGTGGGAATTAATGAACCGGGAAAGGGGAGAAAAAGAGAAAAGAACCTCAAAGCCACATTAAAATTCCAACCATTCGCTTTTGGCAACGCAGCTTTAAAAAGCCCTGCACTGTAACTATTAATAGAAAAGCCTTTCTACTGGTGAGACAAATGATGCTCACGCAAAGCTGTTCGAATGGAATGGTGTAAAGGACCAAAGCAGAACTATTTCATGCTCGTCTCTACTCGTGATGTTACAGTCTTGCCAGGACTCCTCTGCAAGCAAACCGATGCTATAGACAAAAGACACTGGGACCATATGGCGATTCCTGTATGTTTTTATATCTGTTTGTCACAGCCTTCAGGGAACGGAACTTGGCCAGACTCAAAATTCTCAATTCCTACCAAAATAAATGGGAGTTCAAAGTCCTTAACAGCCAAGGAGGCTGTGTCTGTGGAAGTGAGATCTGGCAGCGATCACAAAGGGAGCTGTACCTGAGCGCACGCTGCAACAGTTCTTGTTCCTACAGGGCCGATGGCTTCATCAGTCATGGTGTTCATTTAATGAGGGTTCACAGTGTTCTGCAGCTTCCACACTGTCTGCTGTCCCCTGCTTCAGGAAAAAAAAAAATCAAACCTTTTTGGTAAGGAAAACACTTCCTCGAGAGAATTTCAGGGAAATATGACAGAGTTACCCAGTATCTGCCAGCCCAAAAGTGAGCCCGAAGTATCACTGTGACCAGACCTCTTGCATGGCCCACACACACACACACACACATATATATATATATATATGTATATGGGGAGAGGAGAGTTCTCAGTTCAAACTGGTATGGCTGCAAAACTAGAGGTTTGTATATGCTCATGGTTCTTTAGCCGTGAAACAACCACAGACATAAAAAAGGTTTATTCTGATTTCTACGAGCAAGCCACAGAGTTCTGTACAGGAATTAGATTTTGATGTGAAATAATACAAGATGATACTAAAGAAGATACTAAGTAAAAGCAACAATATATTTTCAACTACCATTGATTTTTGTTCTATTAAAAGTTCAAGGACAAGTAACTTACCCTGCATTTCTGCAATCAGAAGTGTTGCTTCTGTGTTTGGTTAAACTGTTATGAAAACAACCCCTACAAAGAAAATCAATTGCAGTGTGCATTTCACAGTTGTGTTCTAAGTTTGCTGTTAGAAATGAGAGCCCAGAATCCTCTCACTGTTCTCGACTGGCTTTATTACTGAGTAACATCTGCTGCTGGGATGAAAACAGATTCGGTGATCGTGGATAACTGGCAAAACTTCCCCTCCGTCAGCTCAGAGGATGGCAGGATCAACTGCACACGTGCAGCACGGCCTGCAGAGGTAACGGGGTGCTTACCTACTGCAGTAAGCCAGAGCTCTAAATAATTGTGTGTGCTCCTGCTCTTGTGAAATGAGAGATACAATTTGCAATTTACACAGGCTCAGCTACTTCCACCTAACAAATGCACTTAAAAAGCATTTGGGATAACCCTGACTTCAGAGCCATGGCTGTGATTAAATAAAAGACAGGGATTTGGGTGCTTTAAGAAACAAACAGACATTGAACTTGTGGCACCGGAGGTACTTGTATTCTGTGGTTAGCTGCAGTCAGCTTTCATAGAATAGAATCACAGAATCAGGTAGGTTGGAAAAGACCTTTAGGATCATAAAGTACAACCGTTACCCCAGCATTGCTAAATCCAACACTGGACCATGTCACTAAGGGTCTCACCTACATAGTTATTGAACACTTCCAGGGATGGTGGCTCCACCACTGCCCTGGGCAGCCTGTTCCAAGGTCTAACCACCCTTACAGAGAAGCCATAAGACATTTTTCCCAATAGCCAGTCTAAACTTCCCCTGGCACAAATAGTATCTTGAGTAGAACATACAACATCCAATCTCACCTTCCCTCTCGAGCACTCCTCCCTGCCACATAGTGTTGGCTTAAACAGACAGGCTTCCTGGGCAGAGATTTCTCTTTATAAAGATCAGACCCACCTGCTGCAGTACCACGGGGGCTCCAGACAATCTGTGTCACAGGGAAATGATGCTGGTTTGTCACCTCTTAAGCAGAGGCTTCGCTTCTGTTACTTTCTGGTGTCATGGGAGGGTACCTGGGATCTTCCAGTTGTGACTTAGTCCCAACTTCTTGTGCCAGTCAAATGGTTCTTCATTATCCTCAATGTGCCGCTGCAGGTTTCAACACGTGAGGTTAAGTTTTGGAATAGAGAGCAATTTAAGAAAGAGCAAGAATAAACCCCATGTAGTTGAGTTTTCATTTAGGTGTGCTTTAGATTTAAATGTAAGTGACACTGTTAGATGCACTGGAACGTGCTATAATGAATACTTACATTAGCCACTTCAGTGCTAAAGGAATACCATATGATCACTAACAAGGAGGTTAAGCAGTATAGATGGCTGAATCCTGTCTCTGCTTACATAGTGCTAAAAATGAAGCCAAATTACAATAGTAAGGCAAAAATATGAATTATTGACTTTAATAACATGGCTTTGGGTAAAATACACATTGCTGTTGAAAAACAGAAGTCTTCTCATCATTAGTTTTGGAAAACATAAAATTCCCCTTTACACCAAATGTCTGCTGTTTAAGTTGGCTTGATAAAGAGCAGTTCTGTGGAATAAGTATGTATGTAAAGTAAAAACTATTTTTCAATGAGAAGTAAGAAAAATGATCTACTTTTCCTGCTTATACGGGGATTACATCACTACAGCCCCATGGATTTCCATGGAATCATTTTTGATTTGTGCTCATGTAATCAGGCCAAGAAGAATCAAGTTTTCCATTTAAACCATTTCTTAATTCAGCTGCAGATTTTCATGCACTTCTAGAGCCGAGCTCTAAATTAACCAGAAATGAGAAAAATTGAACTGAAGGAATAAGGAGAGGAGACGTGCTTTAGTGATGCACCTCACTCTGGTTAAAAATTAGGCATGGCTAAGGCAGGCTTTGCAGCAGGCAGGAGTTTTTTCAGCCCGGTTCTCACAGCAGATATGTACAATAGCATTTGGTTCAAAACATCTTTCTAGTTGCTTTTGAGAGCATGTTAAATTGAACACTTTTTAGTAGGGTTTCTTTGGTAACAATCTGTGAGATTAGGTCATTATTTTTAAATGCTGCACTGCTGACTATGCAAACCCATGGTTTGAAACGTTCCTATACCTAAAAGAAAAGCTCACCTCTTAAGGAAGGTTTCCTCTTGTAGCACTGATTAAACCTGCAGCCCGTATGGGAGCAGTCTTCATCAACTGGTTTTCCATATTTGTAATAATATCAAGAGTTCACCTCAGCTACAGCAGAAGTTTATCAGCAGGCTGTAACTTTGTTCTTCTTGTGAAGAACAAAAACCCCAATACATCTGCAATACGAAATGCATCTGTAATACTGAACACCAAGTGGCCCAAGCTAGGGTACTTTTTGGATGCAATGGCATTAAACTTGCCCTTTAAAAAGCATAAAAGCAGCAGAGACAACTGATTCCAGACACTAATTTTCTTTTGACAAATTACTAAATGCCTAAATAGACGCACCAACAGTTTAAATAATTAATCCTTCACATCCAACCTGCAGAAAAGCTAAAGGCATAGTTCATCTGCTATTAGAGTAATCAGCTTCTTCAGCAACAGCTGTAAAACTGACAGCAGTACCACCAGACTCCTCCTCCTCCTCACGCAAATCAAGCTCTTCTCCAAAAGTCAGACTGCAGCTTAAATCTCCTGAAAAACATCCCTAGTAAAGGACATAGAATCATAGAACAGTTAAGGTTGGAAAGGACCTTAAGCTCATCTAGTTCCAACCAACATCCATTATTCATCTTCCCATCCCTGGGAACATCAGAGCTGAGAAACCTCTGAAACATTTTGGTGTATTTAAAGAGAAAACTGTTTTGAACATGGAAGGTCTCATCCAGCTACTGTGCAAACAGGAGAGAAGCCAGGGCTATAACCTCCAGATCTTGTCTTCCCAAAACATCTTCAGTGCTTTGAAAGCAAGAGCTTGTCAGGAGGTGCCTTGCTTGAAATGCAAGGCCTATAGAACGAAAAATTCCTGATTTATAACATTATTTAGCATTTAAAATAATATTCCTCAGAATACAAATTAGGATGAAGGAGCTAAGGAATTCTGCGTTACCTCTGTTTTTTCAAGATGCTCTTGCCAGGCAGACCCTGGAGAGGCAGATAGCTTAAAGTAGCCTTCATCAGAAGAGATAAGGATTACCAATGAAACTGTTT